CAACCCCCCCCCCCCCCGCCCCTTGCACGTTGGTTTATGCATAATTATAATATACTATCTGCTGGTTGATATTCGATTTATGTTTTCATAGGACACGAGGAAGCTGAATGCCGTCCTGCAGAGGGCGAGGGGCAAGCCAGGTCTCGACAAAACCCGCAAGATGCTAAAAAAATCAATCAAGGTGGGCGTGCGGCTTATCGTGTGTTTTCTCTGTACAGCGTGTGCGATCGATAGATTGGTACTCGCGGAATGTCGAAAGAATAATGAAGGAGCGCATGGAAAACTGGAAGAAGGGGGACACGGACCGGTAATTTGTTGTTGAGGGTTCGCCAGTGACCCCATCCCCTAGTATCTTCCCTCCATTCGAACGGAAATCGCTATTCTGCCCAGCAATGTTGGTGACACTTTTCGGGCAGAGCTCGTCTCCTTGCCGTAGCGAGAAACCCAACAAGAGATGTATCCCCCAAACGATTGATTGCCGGCTTCGCCTAGAGCGTAAACCACTCGTGCTTGGGAGAGACTTGCTCTGCCCTTACATAGTTCAAGACAAGATGTATCTAAGGGGGGACTATATCTTAACGATAGCGGACTCAATGTCAGACATTTGCAGTTCCAGGTAGCTGGCCATGAAAGAAAGCATATACGCAAACATCGCTCCGTGGTTCGCCTTGACAGGCAACGCGTGGCCACAGCCCCGAGTCAAGCAGCATGTGAACCCCGCCCCCCACCCCCCCCTGCCACCCCCACCGCGCTTCGAGGTTCAGGAAATTACTAAATATAGGCAGAACCGTGGGGCTACGACCATGGCGGCGGCAATGGCGGTGACAGGCAGGACTTCTCGCACCAATCCCCAGTTGGTAGGATGAATCGCCACAACTGCAAATGCAGCTTGTTGATGTGGAGATACTCCTTTCCGTCCCATCTTACGTGTATTATTTGCTTGTCCGACACCTCGTATACGGTAGATGGTTGCTGCAACTGTGAACCGCGTGTTGGGCACCATTGATACACGGCATTGATGGTGTTGAATGAGGCATCTACGGCGCGTGGGGCTCCACCTACACACCTGACACTGACTGGCTTTTGTCGCCCAGATAACACGGTTGGCGTATAGAAACTCGCAAACAATACTTAAAAAATGTAGACGGCAGCCGTAGACATACAGATATTTTGAGGCATGTTTAGTTTCCCTTTTCTTCGGTGCGGTCGATTCCTCCGCAATATTTGCAACACAGGCTATCACTAACAGGGTTTCGATCCACCTTCTTGGAGTCTTACTGGAGCCTGGATTCACGCACAGCGTGGTCTCTCATCCCGGACGGCTTCCGCCGAGCTTGCTCCGTGCTGCCTGATGTGAACAGCAGCAACACGCACGTCCCATAGCCCAACAACTACGGCAACAACAGATAGCACACACACGACCCGAACCGTGGCTGGAATCGATTTCACCCGTGTTTCCCCATCGCATTACCCACTCTGTATGAAAACTTATCCCTGAAGCAGGGTCCCAAGAAGAGCAACAAGAACGACATCTACAGTTTTTACCACGGCGACAACGACGATAACGGAGGTGGTAGGGCGAAGAACAACAGCAACAGTGGCAAGAAGGGCTTTGATCTCTTGGCTAGTAGCCGTGTGGTGGATAAGCAGCTTAACAGGCAGCTCAAGGGATGGCCCGCCGGACATGTGCGGCAGATTCTTCGTTGCCGTACCGGCCTCGCCACGAGATTATTAGGCAATCATGGCGCGACCCTCAACACGATTGTGGCAAGTAATCTGCAAACTTCGTATGTGTGTAAGGAAGAAAGTAGCCGCGACGAAGCTTGTCAATTGCTGCGCTATACTGCGGTCAACCAACAATGTATTCCCCGCGCAAGGGTTTCGGAAAGAATGGGTAGAACCTAAGCCAAGTGTCAATACTGCGGAAATCCATATTACGGAAATCCAAATGTTCACCAGGATGAGGGGCGCAAGCAGTTTTCGAGCAGACTCAAAACCCTCGAATCTGCAGCAAAAAGATCACCGACGAGCTCATCACCGAGAGCAAGTGCTTGTCAATATCACAACCCAACTTATTACACTTGTGGCCGAGTATCTCATGATTTTCTTACCCATTGCAATACCGTTGTGAAGGCGGTCTAGGAATAGATGCGGTGAATTGTATACCTCCCGCTATTTCTGCCCCGAAGGTTTGCCTGCCGCTCATGACGCAACTGGATGGTTTCCAGGATCCAAACATCTGCTAGTGTCCACAAAGGATATCCGTTTAGTATTGTTTTTGAGGAAATCTGTTTTGAAATCCAGACAGTAGTGACCCCTATCACGACCAATATCTACCTGAGTGATTCGCGACATTTGGAAAGACCCGTTCAGCTTAGACACCATGGGCTATCCACCAAAGACGATAAGATTACGGTGGTAGACAACAGACGTGAACGTAAACCGGGGACCGACAAAAATAGTGCGTCGTTAGTATGACGATTTTTCGTCGCGTTCTTCATGCGTATCAATCAAATCGTCGCCGCGAACACCGGAATGTTGCATTCCTATAGCGAGCATAAACAACTATCCTCCTGCCCCCCTCCGGGTTTCCGTTTTCTCGTCGATATCGCTGTATTTTCTTGTTCGTTTTGTGCATTTTTGCCACACCAACAGAAAAAGAGCCTGGCGAAGGTGGACGTGCTGAGAGATGCCACGAGCAACTACCGCACCGTTACCGTTCGCGGAGTCCCGAAAAATGTGTTCCACGCCGTTCGTCTCCTTTGCCAGGTATGATCCTTTTGCTTTTTTTGCATGGGCGGCTTTGGGACAATATGCTAGGATTGTGTAGCAAACAAATGCCGGAGGTCTTGATCGAAATCCAGCCGGGGTTGCACTTCTACACACGTGCACCCCACCCGTGTTGGAAGTCGTGTTGCACATCACTAGGCACATGTTTAGGCAGCGGTTAATGTACTCCGTACCGATGCGTTTTGGGATATCATGCAGCCTGAAATGTTTCTGGGGGTGTCCCCGGTATTCCCAGCGGAAACCTTCAACGATTTTCGGAGTATCGTCTTTCGCACCCTGATGTTGGGTGTCGACTGCACACTTACCGCTCCGCATCGCGCATACCCGCTGCACCCCCGCCCTTCCCAAATCGCCAAAGGCTATCGGCAACTCGGTGGTTGTGGGCGAAGTCGAGAAGCGCCCACCGGCCGCATCTGCAGCAACGCCTCGGGTTCGTTTTGCTGTGGGCGGAGGCCACGGCGATGGCGGTAGCGATGGCGGTAGCGATAGCGGCGATGGCGGCGGCTTTGGCGTTATGACGAAGACCCGCGCCCCTGCCAACCACAGAAACACCACCGCCGCCGCCTGGACCATCACCGACACCACTACCACTATCAACAACAACGCCGACAATAACAACAACATCACCAACATTTGCGGGCACGACATCATAAGTAGCAACATCGGCAATGTTACCCTGACTGCAGCAGGCATGACCATGGATACATACCCCGCTCCTACCAAGCGTTCTAGCGTTGGCACCGGAAATAACGACGTCGCGAACCCTTCTACTCCTTCCGTTGGCGGTGCTTGCGCTACAACCGATCCTGCCACGGCTGGCGCCTCTGCTGCTCCAGCTCCAGCTGGTGCCGGTGGTGGTGATTACGAGGCCGTAGCCGGAGCAGGGAAACATGGCACCTTCTTTGAAGGTAATGCCGTTCCTCCGAGATCGACCCTTAGCAACAACCCAGGCACGCGGGACACGATGGACATGGTCGAACGGCTTCACGCGGCGGGTAGGGGAGGACAAGGAACCCACTGCCAGCCTCATCAGCAGCACGCTGCGCCCCCCGCGGAGGCCGCTGCTCCTGCCATTCCAGGCGTTGTCGATAGAAACAACGATTTCTCGGGTCGCCCGGGCTTTGCCACCGTTGGCGATAGCTTCCCGGCTCATTCGCAGTACCCCATGGCTACCGCACCGCCTGCTGCTCATCTCGCCGGCATCCCCAACGTCGGCAATGGTGTTGGCCACGCCAATACGGCCCATGCTGGGTACTTTCCCGCGTTCGATGGCGGCGGTGCTGTTGGAGCTCCTGGCTTTGCTGATTTGGGTAGGGTAGCGGCTCCCGGCGCTGTTGGTGTCGGTGGCAGCATCGATGGGATTGGCGCAGGAGCTCCTCCCGGGTTTTCTCGTGGACGTTTAGGTTCCATCAACGCTTTGCCAGTTCCGACGGAGGCTGAGCACTCCGACGCGTCGGCAATGAGATTCTCTACATATCGGCCCTCGGCTGTTGCCGACGTTGGCACCGATAACGCAGCCGGTTCCATTCCAACTATGACGGGGCATCCGAACATGACCGCTGCTTCCGGGCTTGGGGCCTTAGAGGCTACCAGGGATGGTATTTATTTGGCCGGTGGTGGTGGTGGCGGCGGCGGTGGTGGTGCCTTTCTTGCTACTGGTGTTAACGTTGGTGCTGGTGGTTACGATTTTATTCCGTCATCCGCCGCTTTTGCTCGAGATTTGGCACCCTCAGATGCTGCTGCTCCTGCTGCTCCCGCAAGTGTCTACCATCCGCCGTCTATTCGCCCCCTAGCTGCTAATCGTCTAGACAACGACGCGAGATCGGCTACTGCTCCGGTTGGTTTTTCTATCCCCGATCAACCCGTCCTTGCCACGGCAGCGGAGGGAAACTATGGACAAACCGCTTCAGGAAAAACGCTCCAAAATATCTCTGAACAACCAAGCCTGCACAACGGTCACATTGCACCTGCCGGTGAAAAGGGGATTGCTGCAGAGGTCGCCGGCTGGGGCGAAGCAGGAGGAACCGGAAAGTATTATGGGAACAACGACGGGGACAATACAGGCGTTTCTTCTCCTCCCAGTTGGACTGACGACGACAACGGTAACGACGATGGCGATGGCGTCACGGACGGGGCTGGAGCCGGGGCCAAGGACGAGGCGGTTATTGTTGCGGAACCCGATCCTCATGTGGAGGCGGTCTTGAAGGCCGCCAAGTGCGAGCGCATTCTGCCCTTGCTCGTCGCGAGGCAGGTCGACCTGCGGAAGCTGGCGCTCATGGAATACGACGACTTCAAGGCGCTTGAGGTGTGGTGCGGAATGAGAACAGTGGGGGTAGCCGCAGCGGAAGGAGGTTTTGGGAAGTGGAGGGGGTAGCATTCGCGAGCACCAGAGAGTCAAGTTTGGCAAGGATTTCAACGCCCCCGTTATACTTGCCTCAACCACCGTATGCATCCTTGTGGTTGTTTGGGAATGGAATTGTGGAGCGAGCTAACTTTTTCTGGGTTTCACGTTCCTCTAGGCATTGACTCAGCCCGGCGTGGAACGCTCCTTTGTGATCCCCTTGCGTGTTTGTTTCATGGTTCCTGCATTGCGGGGAATTATAGGATGAAAACGATGCCAGAACAAGGGTGGCTAGGGGTCCCCAGTTGAAAATCAAGCATTACTGCAAGCGGAAGATGAAGGAGCTAGGGGTGGAGATCGAGCTGGGGAAGGAGGGAGCCGTGGGTGACAAAAATCGCGGCAAAAAGCGCGCTGGCCATGAGGGCGATTCCGAGGGGAATTGCCACGTCTGCTGGGAGAAAGAGATTCAAGTATGTACATCTAGGTGGCTTGGCGGACGCTCCTGTGCGAGACTGTTCTTTGGGTAGATTTTTTTGTGATTCATGTTGCTGCTGAATTGACGCCATTCTTGTCTGCGTTTGGAGTTGCTCCGGTGATGCTCCTGCGCGGCACCCCCGACCGGAACGCTGGTGCGCGTGCTTGACTCACAGCTTGTCGTGTAATATATAACGCTGAAATGGGAGCCAGATGTCCCTGCGATCAAGTATGCCGACTACACGATCAACGGCAAAACTGTGCGGCGTAGCGTACGTACGAGCTCCGCGTCTCCAGGCCTCACCCTTGGTATCCGTAAGCATCTCACCTCAAAACTGCTGCGTATGGTCCGGCGTCTCGAAGAATCTGTGTGGCCGAATGTTGGCCGTCCCGAGGACGCGTGGCACAGTATGTTCCGTGGTTGATCGGGGTGCGCTTTAGCTGGATGATCACGTTTATCTCAAGATTTTCTCTGCATGTGCGGGGATCTGTCATTCACCTTGTCATTCCCGTCGGAATTGATTATTTATACTCGGCTACCGCACCATGTCAACTGTTGTTCACCTTGGCTTGCCCGTTCAACGGCCCGTCGGTTCTTCCTTTTCATCCCGGTGGTCTGCTTGATGATGCTGGCATGACGGCGGCCATCCTTGAAATAGTCTAGCGATTTTCTCGCAATTGTTTTTGCTGTTCCAAGAACTTCGTTCCCTTCTATCTGCTCAACTGAGATGCACCGCCCCCTACTCTGTCGTGTTATCTCCTACGCTCAAACGCAGATCATCTTTTGCCCTTGCGGTCACGAGGCTTGCTGCGTAGACTGCGGAAAAGCCCTCGAGGGGGGTCCATGTCCTATCTGCCGTGCACCGGTGAAGGAGGCCGCCCGCGCCTTCAAGGGCTGAGCGGCGATGAGAGTAGTAGATACGGGAAATGGGGTTCAGTGTAGAACGTTTGTCGTATCCATCGTTGTAGTGCGGTTGCTCAAACACCTGTAAGACTTTCACAATTAGGGGGTGACTGTACTACTTCGTAGTGCCCGTGGGGTTGGTGCGTGGTACATGTTGCCCCGGAATACTGTGTTTACTTTGCGCGCGATAATTGCCTACGGCGCATTTTGCCGTTCGCGAAGCACACCGATACGAGGGTTGCGTACCCCAGGAACACGAGAGCCGGCTAGCTGCTGCAGCAAGCGCATTGCTTTCAAACGCGCAGGCATAGACTATATGATACACATGAACCAATCGGCGAAAGGAGAACAGGGGAGTGAGTGTTGAAGACCGCTGCTATGCTACTGCACATTAGCGGAGGATCAAGAACGATAGATCCAGGCATGAGCTGGGAAGGGCGTGTGAACATGCTGCTGACATACGCACAGACTTTGTGCTATAGCGAGCCGAGTTTGGCGTTCGATGGGGGAGAGGTCGCACAGTTGCCGACAGACGAGGTACGGTGGCAATCTTGGTCCCGACTATTTATGACTTATGGCTCGGGTTTAGCGACGCACATATCATTCCACGTCTCACCGAAGCACATTGTGGATTGGAACGTAGAGATGCCATGGCTTTGATCCGTTGTACGGGCATGCATGCATGCCAGGACGAACTAAGTGGAGACGCGCACGGGAAAGGGTGAAGGCAAAATATTCAGTGTTTGGCATCAGAGTTCGCGGGGATCTGTCCAAACGGGGTGGGTGATGCATGCTGGACGAAGATAGTCGATGCTGAGCGAGTGCGAGCTATGGACTGCATTCGATGGAGATTGGGGGGGGGGAGGGGATGCACGTTGTAGAAGCGTTCTGCACTTGAATGGATTGCATTTAGAAAAAGAAGATTCCGAACTCTCGACGAACCCCAACAAGCTATGTTAGAGGAAATCCTTCGATGAAACCTTCCAACGAATGCTTGCCAGAGGGAGTGAATCGCGAGTGGGCTTCGTCATTCGAAGATATTGCTCGATGGATACTTTAGGACGACTCGTTTCGATAGCACAACCTGGAGACACATGCACTGTTTGTTCGTTTGTTGGAGCCACAGGTCGAGTACCCGTTGGCTACCAATGTCGCCATTGATGATATCTCTCTGCTCTGGCGCGAGAGCATCATTCGGCTAAACCCCAAGGTTTTCCGTGCTCTCTGGGAGAATGTGCAGCCGGTCGCCCTTGCTCTCATGGCTTCGGCGACCGAACAACGTTGTTGCTGGACGCAGGCCTGGGACCAAGACGCGTTCGAATGCCTCTGATTCTTGGGCACACAACGTAGAGGCACCAAGTGGGTGCACGACAGAGCCATGCTTTGGCGTATAGACTTGGTACGAAACATGGCCGCGCATGCCTTCTAGTTTCGCAATGAGCTAACAGTGCGCAGCCGCGTCATTGCAGAAAGGGATCGTGTCCAAGTTGAAGATGGCGATCCAAAAGCAGTTGGGGCAAGACGGCAACTGGGACCCTGTCATGTGGTCGGGCAATCCGTGTCGTAGTCCTCTCGAATACTCCTACGTAATATTTACGGGAAAGGAACAGGAGCTTTGTCAACCACGCAGAGGCTACCTTGCCGCATGTTCTCGTCGATATGTTGAGGGACATGCGCTTTCGGGCACAAACTGCGCCACCGTTGGTGGTGCGCATTGAGCATACTGTTGTATTCTTGTCCCTCACTTAGATCATTCAATGTGAGTATTGGAATGGGTTGGGTGAGGCCTCCTGCACCGGCCTGTGGTCCCGCCCATTACTTTCCTGTTGATTGTCTACTCTACGATATATTGCTTTGACCACAAAAGCCTCTAAGGTAGGTCTCGCCCCACCCAAACGTTCTTACTTCCGCGGCGCGCACACGTAAAAAATCGAATGTATGCGTGGCCCGCCGACAATCGGCAATGTGTTTTAGTCAGCGTAGTGCTCGCTACGGCTCGTCTTGAAACCCGCCGTTCCTACACTTGTAGGCACCAAGTGCGACGCTCTCGGTACGCCGCCCGGCAATTTTCCTGATAACAGCGATCGCAGGTCCATCCAGCCCCCGTCCCGAAAGGAAGGCATCGTGTAGCGGTGTGGCAGCCCGTGACGTCCGCGCCCGCAACTACGGCGTCTACGGAGTAACGGAGGGTCGCACCAAACTGGAAATCGAAGAGAAGATCCTCCCCCACTGGCAGCCGGAGAATCTGCGATCCCATCGTGAAGGAGAGGTCGTCGTGGCCGCGAACGCCAGCGAGAACAAAGCGCCACCCCTGGTAATCTCGGATTTGGAACGAATCCAGGTTTCGGAACGAATTCGGGAAGCGTCAGATATCCCATGAAGCATGTTGGAAAATGACTCTACCTTGTTCAGTCCCCTTTCTCTCTCCCGAAATACGCCGGAGCAGAGGAGAAAGAAGAAATATTTGAGACTATCCCACCCGCCCTATGAAAACTTATTATTTCATGAACTTGCTGATCATTCACACGCTTCGGGTCTGGGCATATTGCGATCTGTATGCCCAGCCCGAAGAGTTACTTCACGGCGAGGCCCTCCCGTCGGTGCAGGAGGCCTAACCCAACCCAATCCCATACTTACATAGAATGATCTAAGTGAGGGACAAGAATACAACAGGAAATCTAATGCTCATTTCAGGCGGTTTTGTTCGCGTGGTTACGTCCGGCCTTGGTGTGAGTGTTCATTTTTTGTTACGGTACAATCTTGTTTATGTGAACGATTCCTGCGGGCCGGTGTTCCAGGTCCGACCGCTCAACCATAGCTGGGGCGGGGCTGCAACCTTTCTCCCAGAGGGACGGTTTTCTCCCGTCACAACCGGACGTGTCCTCGAGGTTGTGAAACCTGACCTCAGGGCTACGCTTTCCCCTGGAGAGGAATTTATTGCTCGCGATTGTGTGGTTCGTTCGAGGGTCAGTGGGGCTTTCGACTTTAGCGAATTCATCGTGGTTGATGTCAAATCACGAACGTCATAAGGTTCTTGCGGCACATGATGTAAATGATATATTATACTGTGTCGCGACGGCAGTCTGGTCACCCGCCCCGTTGGGGGGCGGGGGGGCATTCGTTCTCTCTACTCGTACAATGTGCACGTAGCAGGAATAATTGTTCGTGCGTGAAAATGTATGGATTGGCCGCAAGTAGCCGCTACGTAGGACGAAATTGGGACGTTCCTGGAGGGCATGCGGAAAGAGACCTTTGGATGATAGTGCGGAGTCCTCGTTGTCTGTCGAAGTCTTGGGGCGCACCTCCTTGTCCTCTCTCTCTCCCCTCTTGCGAGCTTGCAGTACAACAGAGTTAAACAGCAACTACAGTCCGCAACGCACATACCGCTGCCAGAGCTCACGCTACACGAACAATGCATGCAGAACAGTGTCGAATCCGATTAGAGAAAATCTTTATCCCTCATCTCCCTTTCGCCACCACCATTGCCATCCAGGCAGAACTGCACTCCCACCAAGCCCACGCCCCTTCCTCCCTCCCGCCGATCGAAGTTGCACCCAACCGCAGGCGCTAGAACATTTGAAATGCAAACCATGGCATAGTCTAATTGTATTCTTGACTTGGTGATTCAATCAGCTTTAGGTCGTGCGGCCCAAGACTCTGACAAACCTATTACAGTGGTGTAACCGACCCATTGCTGGACGTTCTTTCCCTATGTTGAGTGCTTGCACTATAAGAACGACTCTAGTCTACTGCATGGGTTTGATGCGGTATTGTGAAGGCGTGACCAAGTCTTCATTCGTCACGTGAAGACAGCTCGGTGGTCTGAGTCTGGACGGGGGGGACGTGTGGCCGAGTGGCCTCCAACGGTTGAGATTCGGAAGATTTTACCGACCGACAATATCACGTTGTGGCCCGACTCCGTGCTGGAAAAAGTACGTTTCCGGCCGCAAAACACGAGGACTTGGCGAAAGTCCAGTGGTCAGCTTCGCGATAGTCTTCCAAGGCACCACCCATTCGTTGAGACGCGAACGGCAGGTTAAGTGCCTACACCATGACCCACGAGCACCTTGCTGTGCCTGCTGGCTGAATATATATACTTCGAAGTAAATATATACGGAATCCCTAGCTCGGCGAAATCAACGGTACCCAATACTTGACCATACTCAAGCACACTCATTCACATTTCTTCATAAACCGACTTTTTCCCTTTTCTGGATCCCCGGATCCCCAGGACTGAAAGAGAAGCCACAATGGCGTGGAACGTTTTCCCAAAGTGCACGTTTCGGGGAACTTTCTATTCATGTCATGTATCTGCCGCTCTGCCAATCAATACTGTTTCCTTCTCTTCCCTCCAAGCACAGCCGAGGGTCCTTTTTCCTCCAGCAACGGGAAATACAGTGCTACTACTGCACGCCATAGTCTCAGAAGATCAATCCCCAAAGTTATAGCCTCTGTACCGCTTTCTTCGCTTCACTCAATATCATTGCAACCGTAACGTCTACTGAAGTCGGTCCTCTCCTTCCCCCAATCTTCGAAAACAAAACGGCTGAGTGGGTGGGTGGGAAAAGCCTCAACTTGTTGCAGCTCCCGAGGCGTCTATGTGTCCACCTAGACCCTTGCCTCTGTGCTATTCTCTCTGGCACGCTAAGACTGTGTGAACACAGAACTTCGACAGACAGAGTGGGTAGAACTCAACTCCTTCCCTCCTTCGGGGGCCCCGCACTACAGTACATAATGCCCAAGCTTACCTCAAAAACGACCGCCGTGCATGGCATTTGAATGGTTTAAGAAACATCGGTTTGTTTGTGGACGACCTTCACCAAACCCACTTGCCCGTTATGTCTCGTCTCCCTTTCGCCATCACCGTCGCCATCCAAATACAGAGCTGCTGCACTCACCCGCACACACACTCCCACATAGAAAATTCGCACCCAGTCGTACTCAGATAGGTAGGTGAACTACAATTGGTACTCAATGTTCGCAAGGTGGCAGCTA